AGGCCCCCATGCTCCTCCTGCAACCCCCAAATGGCCGAGGCTCTGTCAGCTGCCACCCCCGCAACAGCCGTGGCCCTACTAGCCACCCTCACTGAGTATCACCCGAACCGCCAAGGCTTCAAGTCTTGCCCCAGCAAAAGCACTGAGGCACAACATACCACTCCTGAGTGCCCAGGGCCCCACTGGCCACCCCTCAATTGTCAAAGCCCCATTTACAGTCCATGCCATCCCCAAGGGCTAAAGTCCTGCTGGCCACCCCCACCACATCACATGGACAAGGTGCTGCTTGGGGCCCTTACCACCCTGAAACAGCCAAGGCCCCATTCACTATCCCTAGACACCAAGGCTCTCTACAGGGCCCCTAGATGGACAAAGTACCACTAGCTGCTACCACCACCTCCTACTGCCCACCCATGAACTACCAGGGCCGTGCCTGCAGCCTCTGCATGGCCAAGGCTCCGGCAGCACTTCCACCTGCCTCCGATGGCAAGGCCCCACTAGCATCTCCTGTGGCCCCCTGGTCCCCTCGGCCACCTCCGCTCACAGCACTCCACGTTGCAGCAGTCATTAAGAGCCGATTAAACAGGTAGCCCAGGCCCAGCACCTGTGCTGCTGCCCCCCACTGAGGAGGCAGCCCCCTCTCCGAGGCGGGTCCCTGGTTGGAGGCTGTGCGTCCGGCTGATCGCCTGTCCTGAGCCCTCCACCACCCTTGCAGTGAATGGCAGCCTTCTGCTGCTCTGGGCCAAGGCTCCCTTGCTCCCCCAACACGTGAAGTGTCCATGCTCATGAGTTTATGAGGCACACTGAATGCCACCCGAGAGCCCTTCGCTTTGCTTGTAAGCACTATCACATGCTCCTGCTGGCCTCCCAGCGAGCGGCCGGGCACCCACCTCCAGGCTGCTCCCATCTCATGATACTGCAGGCCCACCAGAATGCCTGCCATGCGTCGCTCGTTTGCTTAGCACAAGGTCTCCAGCTGAGTTTGAATCCAATGGACACCTTTTTTCTGACTGCTTTAGGCAGTAAACCTGACCATTACGTGTACTCACCTGAATTCTTGCCTCTTTCTCTCAATTTGCCAGCATCGTTGCACTGGCAGCTGTTTCAGATACTCCAAACCAAACCTTCAAGGGCCTGCCCTTGAGAGCCAGTTTCTCTTTGGTGTATCATAGTAATGCCATATTCCTACAAGGTAGCATGTAAATTAAAAGGACAAAACCTGGATGGCTCTCCCTACTCTTCATAATTCTCTGAATGGTTCTTGTATCTGTGAGGCCATTTTGCAGAAAATACAATGTGGACCCAGTTGCTTGGGATGGAATTCAGCTTCAGATTAAACACACCTGAAGTTTGTTGTCTATATAAAAGAAAGATGCTTAAGTTCACCGTCGAATTGCATTTAAAGCCCAATTGCCTTCCGAGATGCCCCGGAATATTCCTTCCTGGTCTCCAGTTATTGCTTCAGGAGGATGCAAATCTCCTATAGGTCCTGTGTACATTTATCAATTCCATGTGGAGGTCTCACATACCTGATAGCATTTCAAATGTTACTACCCACATATAGCTATATATATTAGCCACATAGGTGCCAGTGATTTGAGCCTGTAGGAGCCAGTCATTCTTTCAGCTTAACTGACTACCACAGAATTTATACTAGAATATATCATACATCAGAATTTATGCCACTAGCACACATTTAAACAGCTATGTATGACTGTATTAAAGTGTCCTAATCACCAACTGAAAATCAGCCACTGCTCATGATTATGGCAGATGACTATAGCCCATGAAATGAAGCGTCAGTGTTGTGGGATATGGGTGAGGACTACACTTGAAATGATAATTTCACACATTCAGAAGCTGATTTTTTACATTCCATCTCAAGATTTCAATTAAATGCATATTTAAGATAAAGTTCCGTATGAGAGGGCAACAGTATTCTTCACTCCTTTCTCCTCCCTAACCATGTCACCTCATGACACACTACTGTTCAAGGAGCACAACCAATGAAGTACAAACATGGTCTGTGAAGCAGAGATGTGGGGCAGAAATTGAATCCTGCCTAATCTTTAATTCCTACTCTTCTGTGAATCTAATTATGATCCAAGGGCCAAAATAATGAGCTTAGTAAAATCTCAACAATAACTTACAGAACTACCAACCACATTATGAGCCTTTCCAGAGGCAGAAAAGAAACCAAACTCTCAAGTCTTCACAATTTTTGTACTCTAGGGAATATTAAAATGGATCTTCCAGAAGTCTTTCTCTTAGCTCAATAGTAGCAGAGATTCCCATCTGTTGTTTCAAATTACAGTGGTAGGTCCCTGTCCTTAAAAAACTTCAACTCTTTCTGATATCTTCTGTTAATACTCCTCCCTCTACAGAAAAATTCTTTTCTCTCTCCTCGTCTTCTTCCTAGGAAAGCTTTCATATGGATTGAAATCATGCACTGAAAAATGTCCAGAGTTGCTCTACTGATGTGAAAGAACCATGAACAAGCAGTGACCATTTAAGGATCTGAAGTAAATAAGCTAATGCGGTCAGAAGCAGACAACAGTCCTGAGACACAGGCTTTCCCCTCACGCTTTTCTTACCTGACATTATGTTTTCCTCAGCTGAGTAACCTTAACATCCCAGGCAGGCACCATATTCTACCCTATAGTGTCAAACCTTTTTTCCCCTGGCTTCTCTGGCAGCTCAAACGCTGCAAAATCCAAACTTCTGCTCTGCACAGAGGTGCCAGCTAAGGTTCAGGCATTGCTTTGATGATACTATGGGTAAAATAGAATAAACAGTAAAAAGCAGATGCCTTGATTAAATTCCTTCAAATAAATGTTCATGAATTGTTCATTTTACTCGAAGAGCCAAACAATTAGTTTGAATAATATTGCAAAATCCTTTGAATAAACTACTTCATGTTATTCGACTGCCTCTGGCTTTAAGTATTCCGAAGGCATATGGACGAATTCCTAGATGCCTTCCTAGATGTTTTATTCTTTGTGACAATTTTGGATGTTCATTTGTCCCGTATCTAGGCCATGGCCATTTGGTGCTTGTATGTAGATTTCATTTAGATTTCATTTCTTCTTCACTGAAATGTAATACTACATTATGTTTCCGATAGTCCCGAGCTTTGTAGAACTATAACAAAGCTATTGCTGGAGATCAAACCTACTACCCTCATATGGCAACTGCAGTTTGTCTCAAACTACATGCACAAATTAATACAAATTGTGCATGGTATACAATGGGCACCATTGTTGGATCCCTTTATTTGAGGAAGTCTTCACTTCAGGAACAAATAAAGACATTTTCCTTTCTGATATTTTGCAAAATGCGAGTTTATGACAAGCTGTCACTCGTATTCAGATTTACCACCTAGAAACTACAGTGATTGTTCCTTGGAAATGCTTAAAATAGGTTAGATGGATTGACCGATGGCATATTTCTTTGAATTATTGTGAAAGCATCAGAACTATCTAAATTATGCCATAAAAAACTGGAGTTAGAAGTTATATAACTCAAAGTTGCTATAAATTGCTTCTTGTTGAAAGCTATATAAAACATTTTCAAATCTGTCATGTTCCACCTCTTCTGCTTCAAAAAAAAATAAATATAAATATAAAATAGCAAAAGCTATGCCACTGTGAAGACAGGACCCTCTTTTGCAGCTAAATGTAAGAGCTCAGTTCCTTGTCATGTCTGGATCATACATACTACAATCAAATGCATTTTATTCTGGTTAGCTAAATGAAGGTAGGTAACTCAGTAACAAAACCAGCTCAGACATATTTCTTTCCTCACAGACACAATGTCTTCACTGTTACTTTAATTCGAGTTGGTTTCTTGACTACAGATTATATTTACCATTTTTCTGCTGATGATATTCCCATGTGCCCTCAGAACAAGCCATCTGACAAAGCATTTGAGAAAATACATTTTCTATTTCTCCTCCCACAGAAACATGCATCATGACTGCACAGCCACAGCTTCCCAGAGAATATGCTCTACAATTTTCAGATCTGACACCAGAAGAAATCTTATATTTGCATGAGAACATTCGCAAACCATGGACTAGTTTGACCCACAATAAAGCAGGAGGAAGGGAGTGTGAACAATAAGAGAACTTAAGTAAGACAGAAACTGCTTTATTTGTAGTGGTGGAAACTGAAGAAAATAGCACAGTTGATAGCAGAAGATCTGAAATCTAACCACCTGAATCTACCCTGAAATCTAACCACTCTTAACCACATGATAACCAACGTAGCCAGTAGGAACTGTAAAACCACTAAGAGTGAGGTGAATGTCAGGCCCTTTTCTCCTATCCTGAAATGTGTTCAAATCTAGAAAGGAACACCTTTCCATTCTTTTAGCTATCTGATACGTATTTTACAACCTTTACTCTGAATTCTTTACTGGCAACGCAATTTTTAAAGCTGGACTCAGCTTTTGAGACTTAAAAGTTTCGGGGAAACCAGATAGTGAAACTACTGCCAAATGAGCTTTTGAAAAGAAAAGCTGGAGAGAACGTTCATCATTTTCAGGACAGAATATCCTTCTGTGAAAAAACCTTTTTGCTTACTAATGCAGATGCTCATCTTGCGAAAAAAACCCATAGAGAGTGCAAAGCCAAATAACAATGGGGTCATGGCAGAATTGCATTCGATATGTTGAAAGTGCAGATCACCCAGCACTGAGTACCACTCTGTGATTATATCCTATTTTGTACACTGAAAAGCAACAGCCTCCCACAGCAACAAAGACAGTTATAAGACAGCTACCATTTATCCCAGAGCTCTTTGCTACTTAGAAAAATACTAGAAAGGAAAAACAACCTCTTGCTAGTTGAAATTAGCTGAAATTAGCTCTTCTGATTATCTGCTCTTTAAATTGGGAAAGAAGAAGGGATTTTTTGTTTAGCATGATTTATTTTTAAACTGGCAAAGAGAAAATGGTAAACAGAACTGAAGCTCTCTGGACACCTTCTGAGGTTAAATTACCTTTCATGCCATTTGCACAGAAGACTGTTCTTAAGCAGCTTGAACAGATGGTCCGGACACCATTGTTCGTTTACTTGTATCCACAAAGATAAACGGTGGCTCTTTGAAATCCTGAACAATATGACCCTTATGATTTCTTAGGAACTTTGGCTGCCAAGGAAAAAAAATATACATAAGTCAGCTGAAGAGACCAAAGAGATATGATCAAAAAAAAAAATTCATTTTAAAACTACTAAAAAAAACCCTCTTAACAAATACATACATCTGCAATCTGGAAGTATTTCACCAAAAGGAACGAATACGTTCCAGCATATTTAGCTGGATAGGAGACACAGGTGGAAATAAATCATAAGCAGTTGTCTGATTGAAATAAGAATCTGCCATCTCTATGTAACTGTTTCTACTACACACAGCATTTGCAGGAGCATCTTGCCAAATAACAACCAGTTTTGCATGCTGGGCCAGAGAGAAGGTCAGAGGCTTCCATGACTAAGCCAGAGCAGATAACTGCCAGAGGACAGGGATCCACGCACCCAGACAAGTAGTGGTAGAACAGGTCATGAAGAAAGGAGAATTTGCTGGATTTGGTTTTTAGTAGTTGTTTCAGGAATTTCCAAAACTTCTTCCAGAGCAGCTCTGGTCAAAATACTCCAAGATATGAGCACTTTGCCAACATGTATCTTGCTAAAAAGGCACTTAGGGTTTTATTGAATCAAGTAACAAATAACAAAGAATGCATTTAAGAGGTTGGGGAGGATATGTGCAGTTATAAGGCGATTCTGAAGTTTTAAGAATAATCTTCGGGATTTAAGAGAAAAGATTTGAGTCTTTGGACTTGGAATTAATAATTGCATAACCTATCATTTCATAAAGCTTCTGAAAGAAAAGGAAAAGCAAGTTTGTTGAATATGGAAAGAATCACACGCAATCAGTGAAGGGGCCCATAGGCTGAGCTCAGTACACACAGCAAAATAGACAGAACTGGGTTTAGAAAATAACAGGGAAATTAGATAACTATGACTCACCAGCCACCCAACTTCCTAAAGCCAGCAGCTACTGCAGAGCATTTAATTAACTGAAGTTGCATGTAAAGATGGATAGTTGTTTCTGCAATAACTATTTGTTGTCTAAAGAACGACATATTAAATAAAATTCACATCCTCTATCTAATACCACACACTCCATGGCAACAGTGGATAAACAGTGGATACTCTCTCATATGCTCTCTCTCATATTTCAATGACTGAGTTTTTTTTCCTTTTTTTTTTCTTGTGCTGTTGGCATATTCACCATGCCTAAGAACAAATACACAATTTAGACATTTAAAATTCCTGTCAGCTTTTCGGGAAGTTGTTAACACTCATTGGAGCAACGGAAGAAAGGAAAAGGCAGGCTGAGATAAATTTTGAGCAGCAGCATCTAGCAACTCAAAGTAATATGCTTTGAAAATGGAGGAGTCATTATATCATTTAAACTCATAATAAGAGGAAATTAGTGGGAAATAATTTAAACATGAATGGGAACGTAATAAAAAGTTGTAATATTAAGAGATTAGGAAAACAGAACAACTTATATGAATATGGGATTATGAGAGAAGAGCCATATGGTAAGATTTTCCCACTTCTCCTCTGTCTCAGAAAAGGGGGAAACCTAAAAGTGCATTTTTTCTGAATAACAGTATTTCATGCTTGTTTTCACGCTAATGACATTTCCATTTTAAAAAATCACATCCTTTTTTCCCCAAGGGAGAACTCTCCCTTTCTCTTTGTCTCACTTCCCCCACTTTTTTACCAAAATGGAATGGAGGGACCACCGTTCCCCTCTTAACTGTTTGTCTTCACATAATACTCCCAGCCACATTTGCTTAGTCGTAAATAAAATGCAATGAAAGTATTGAATATGCTCATGAACATGTTTAATGTAAACTGAGCGCCTGAGAGGATAAGAAGCAGGACAAGAGGACCATCCATCCCTCAGCAAACCAACACTGTGTTTTCCAGTGTAAGTGGACTTAATTTAGAAACATATTCAATCTGGGCACTATTTCTCTATACATAAGCTGGCAAATTGTACAAATGCATGATATCTTTATACAAAAAAGTGATAAAATGGTCTATGATAAACACGATAAAAATGTCCCTGACCCCCAAAATAAAACATTTTCACTGAAAACACTGGGGCCTATATTTTGGTTTTCCAGAAAAAATCAAAGGGTGGTTGAATAATACTCAGGTAAATGCATTTTGATCAGATACCTTGCTTCAGTGTTACCAGCTCTACAGAATGTGACATTTTATAGGAAATATAGCCAATCAGCATTATTTATAAATGTGCTTTTTGAAATGTTTTCTAAATAACTTCCATACTGAATGATCTGGAGCATTCACAAATGTTTTAGTTCTCTGCCCTATCTAGACACAAAATTGCCCAAAACTATGTCAATAAAATGAGTTTGAAATGGCTCTGAATAAAACTTCAGCAAATCAAATGGAATTTCACTTTGTTTTTTGCTCTTACCGTGCACTGAGAAGTGTTACGACTGGTAGACTGGCAAAAGCAATATACATACACACGGGAGCATGCATACATATATATATGGACAGACTAATTTCTAGGCAACAATGAAATTCCAGGTCCAGAGAAGTCAGCGGTAAAAATGACTGTATACTTCTTATCTGTAAAGCCATAACAAATGAGATTGCCCGCCACATAAAAATATTCTAGATTCTTGCTATAGGTTGAGCCACGTTTAGTGAGTAATAATGAGTTCTCAGCTAGAGGCTGGGCTGCATAAAGTTGCTGTGAAAACTGAGAGAGAGATTTAAGTCGTCTCTCCCTTTGTACAACAATTGGGCATTAATATATTTTCTGATGAGCAAAGATGCTTTCCATTCTGCAGTTTTAGAGGCAGAAGAGGCCCCAGGGAGAAGGTTTGGAAGATGTTCCAATCTCTCCACTATGCAATAAGTTAATTCAGTCAATTTTTATTTATGGAGGGGGAATATACTGCACACGCTCAGCAATAAGCCTCACTAAAAACAGGAGATGAAGAACAACTTTAGTATTAACAGTGCAGTTGTATAGTAGTCAGTTCCAGTAGGAATTCCTCAGTACTGAATTCCTTTTAGACTCTATTTAGTTTATGAGTCCATCTAAAAGAAGCAAAAGAATGCAGTGAGATTGCTGAAATCTCATATACGGATATCTCCTAAACAGCGGAAGATACAGCAGGTATTAGTCTATAATCACAGATAGAGTTACAACAAAATGGATAAGCTATCACTAACCTCAGTATTGTGGGTGACAAGGCTGGAATACACTTTAAATGGATGGCAATTCTGAATGAGGCATTATAGAAGTAAAAGAGTTTAGTAGAAAAATTGTGATCAGGAAATCAGATGAGTGAAAATTCAATACTGAAATACCTAAAACTCACCTTTTAAATATTTCCTTGCAGAAAACGGTTTATGAATTTCCAGTTAAGACATACGTACAGATTCAAGCTCAGTTTAACACAAATGTGCAACAAGAAGAAAAGACTAACTGAAACTGCATATTCTGGAACTATACTTCTTTCTCATTTCGTAGGCTTTTGCTTTCACTAAATGTAGCACGGTAAAGATGTTAATCTCTGCTATGATATGAGAGAAAGAACAGCAACCCATATTAAAAAATTCAAAAGTCAATGGGAGGAAGGATTAGTTGCATGATAACATGGATTGATCACACAGCATTCGATTAAGACTGTTTAGAAACCTCACTCTGAGCACTCAGTGCCTTGCTTCTAATTAATATATTGCTCATAACTTGCCAATACTAGTAGACCAATAATTTGCAGACTGTTTGACACACAATTTAACAGAGGTAAATGATGGAAGTGGGAGCTTTGAAGTATACTAATATACTTTGAGTGGGAGCTTTGAATATACAAAGGGCAGAACTATTTGTGCCGTTAGGTAAAAACTGGTATCATGATGCACTTGGGGCAATTTTTCCCTTGGACATACACGCATTTCATATTCTTGGCAGAAACCATGTCTGTTTATGCAAATTTTAATGTTTAAAGAAGCAAATAAGAAAAAAGAAACTAATGTCATAACTAATCCTATACAAGTTCTGAACAAGTCCTTAAACACTGTAATAAATGAAATTTCATGACATTGCATATGGAAACATGAAAGGCCCATTTTTCTGTTGTTTTCTGCTTTGTGCAGACACACACACTTGTGCACAATGGGTTCTAAAAACACTACCAGATCAAAATGGTTACATCTCACAACCCTTTTCACTGGTATAAAGGAGTACCTAAGATACTAGTAGGTGGTAAAAGCTCATGCCTTTCAAAAACTACCAAAAATGTAGCTCACCATCTGCAGTGTCATAAGCTGTGATAAATGCTAATGAGTTTCAGGTTGTCTTTTCCAAATCTACATCTCTGTAATCCTTAACTGTCCTTCCAAAACATCTACACTTTAAGAATTTGTTCCAGAATTTCTGTTATTACTGCTTGCCCCTATTCTACTGTAATTGTAACAGAATAAAGATGTTTTCAGAGCGCACACAGTCACTCCTTCCATTCTGGGCAGTGAAGACTTCCTCTAAACTTATGGAGCCACTCACAACAGGGCTCACTGAACACACTCTCTAACTAGCCCAGTTAATGTAGTTATCTCCAATTATCTCTCAGTTATCTCCACAGAGGTAAACAATGACCTACATGGATTGCCACTACCTTCAGGGCAGGTACTGTCCTCCTGAAGATCACTGCAGCTTTAGGGCTTACATGTTACTTCATCTGCAGTCAGACGGCAGTACCCAAATATAATTTGGAGAAAGGAACAATCATAATGACAGGTAAAGCAACTCCATTCTACCTGAAACATTTTCAGAACAACTGACAATATCTACCTCTCTCACCGTGAAGGTGACCAAACCTTGGAACAAGGTACACAGAGAGATCACAGAATATCTTTAGAGCTATTCAAAACTCGATAGGAAAAAGCCTTGAGCAACCTCATCGAGCTTTGAAGTTCGTGTAGAAATCCAAAGTCCCTTCCAACGCAAACTACTCTTGAATCTGTGCAAAACACTTTGCCTTCAACTGAAATAAATCAATCTCTAGAAGAAAAAGTAGGAATTGCATCTGCTCT